AATATCAACACACAGATTCAAAAAGCATAGCAAACCCTAAATAGGATAAATTACACAACTAGACACATTTACTGAAAACCAAAGAAAAAGTCTTTTCTTTTTTTTTAGAGATTGGGTCTCACTCAGTTACCCAGGCTGGAGTGTGGTGGCACAATTACAGCTCACTGTAGCCTCCAACTCCCGGGCTCAAGTGATCTTCCCATCTCAGCCTTTCAAGTAGCTGGGACTATAGGCATATGCCATCACACCCAGCTAATTTTTTATTTTTTGTGGAGATGGGAGCTCCCTATGCTTCCCAAAATGGTCTTCAAACTCCTGGGCTCAAGTGATCCTCCTTCCTTGGCCTCCCAAAGTGCTGGGATTACAGGTATGAGCCACTGTACCCAGCCAAATATGTAGTTTTAAAAACAGCCAGAGACAATATTACATGTAGAGGAACAATAATACATTTGACTTGTTATCAGAAAAAAGGAGGGTGGAAAGTAATGGATTGGCATCACCAAACTCTAAAATTAAAAAAAAAAAAAAGAAAAGAAACCCATGAACTTAGAATTCTACATTCAAAATATAACCTTCAAATGATAACCTTCAAAAAAGTGAAGAGAAAATAAAGAAAATCTCAGATAGGCAAAAGTGGAGATAATCTGCTGTGAGCAAATCAAAATATAACCTTCAAATGATAACCTTCAAAAAAGTGAAGAGAAAATAAAGAAAATCTCAGATAGGCAAAAGTGGAGATAATCTGCTGTGAGCAAATCCGTCCTATAAGAAAGGGTAAAGGAATGAGCATTTCAGGCTAAAGAGAAATAATACTAGATGGAAATTTAGAATTACAGGATGGAATGAAGGATATGTGAAATATAAATATGTGAATAAATATAAAATATAATTTTTTCTAATTGTCTAACAGACAAGGCAAACAACCATTTTGAGGTTATGATTTATTGAAGCTTACTTTATATCAGGCACTGCGTCCTAAATGTTTTACAAATATTAATTCATCCCTACAATAATACAAGATGCAGAGACGTGCAGGAGCATGTCCAAGGTCACAATTAGTAGGTGGTTAGAGTGTAGTGGATAAAACATGGTTCTGGAATTAAGCAGACCTGGATTCAAATCCCATCTTTCCACTTACTAGCTGAATCCCTTCGGTAAATTTTCTTAATACTTTAAATATCAGTTTTCTTGTCTATAAATTTGTATAATAATATCTATTAAGTTGTGAAAAATCAAATGATATTGAAATAATTCATGCAAAAATTATTATACCAAAGCTGGACACCTCATAAGCTCTCCACAAACATGAGCTTTTATTATTATGTAATCTGGGATTTGAACTTAGTACTGCTGAACTATAAAACCCATCACCAAGCTTAACCAGTGCACCATACTATCTGTATCCCTCAGGGTACAGCTCTAAATCAGGAAAAATGCAAGAGAAAAAACCAAAAACAAACTCCTTCCCTATTAGGGAATTGAGAGTATAGAAAATGCAAATGTCCCTGCCAAGTTAAAGAAGAAAAAAAATCTGCTACTATCTTTGATAGAAGACATCTGTTTTCAAAATTCCTAAAGTCAGGGGTGGAAATAAGGGCAGAAATATTTATTTTAAATACCTTTGGATTCTCCAGATTCCATCTCACACAGCCTTTTACGGTTTTGTTACAGCAACACATTTTCACTATCAAAAACAAACAAGCCATCACCAAAGATGTGCATCTCAGAACGTGAATGATATCAAGCATTTGAAATTGTTAGGACAAAAGTATTTTTCTTGTTCTGGCTAGTTTTGTTGTGTGTGTGTTTTTTTTACATTTTAAGCCAGATTAATCAATCTGATGACCCCATAACATTTCTGTTATTATTTTGATTTCTTTTTTGGCTTTTTGAAAGGGCTATAAGCAGCAAGGAAGCTTCTTGTCTATGAAAATGTGTATCTCTATTTAATAGTCACTAAATTTTAGTAGATGCTACAAAAATTTTATATTTGTTTCACTATTCATGTGATTTTAAAATGATTCAATTCTAGGCCCTTATATAATGCAGGTATTAATTTGTTTATTCATGTGTCCACTGAAAGGCATTAGGGGACTGACTGATATTTGGCTATGTCCCCACCCAAGTCTCATCTTGAATTGTAGTTGCCATAATCCCCATGTGTCATAGGAGAGACCCTGTGGGAGGTAATTGAATCACGGGGGCAGTTTCCTCCATGCTGTTCTCATGATAGTGAGTGAGTTCTCATGAGATCTGATGATTTTATAAGGGGCTTTTCTCCTTTTGCTTGGCACTTCTCCTTCCTGCCGTCATGTGAAAAAGGACATGTTTGCATACCCTTCCTCCATGACTGTAAGTTTCCTGATGCCTCCCCAGCCATGCTGAACTGTGAGTCAATTAAACCTCTTTCCTTTTTATTAGCAGGGTGAGAACAGACTAATACAGGGTCATACACAAAAGTATAAACATCCAGATATGACATTCTGGAGAGGAGTTAAAGAATCTCCAAGTAATAATATATATGGTATGGCACCTGCTGTGACTTAAAGATTAGGGCAAAAGGAAATAGGAGGATAGAGAAGAATTCTAAAATGCCTTTGCTATGAGTTGAGTATTGACATATGTAGGGGAGTTCATCAGATCTTTGTTCAAAAAATAGTTAGGAAATACACAGTCTAAACACACTAAGATCCTTAAGGCACACACATGGGGTACTGTTTTGAAAGTAAAACATATTAGGTCTTAAAAATGCCCATCTTAAAATTTAGCCTTTTCTGGGTCCATATTAATTTGCTCTGACATTCTATAAATGAATAAGCTAAAAATAAACATAATATTGATATGTTTAAAGTATATTTTCTGTCTGAATTGCTAGCAAGATTAAAAGAAAGTGGAGTACATTATGAAGTAGGTTTTGGCATCAACTCGGTTACACATATTTTATAAGATGAGACTCAATCAAACAGCTTTATATAGAGATAACCTGAATTAACAACACAGGGTTATTAGTCGACAAACCTGTCACATATTTCTGTTTTCACTGGGCTTAACTTTGGATGTATTTTTTGATTTTACCTTGGCAGAAATTATAAAATGGTCTCGTGTCCTATTTATTTACTTTGAATTTATTTCTCACGGAGGACATGCCGCTTAAGAAAACAGGTGTTTCAGCACAATCCCTGGGAGGGATTACTTAAGTTTAATGTGATTTTGCCTAAAGAATCAAACAAAGTATTAATGTCTTGTTCTGATACAGGTTAGTAGATGATATTTACTTGGATTTAAATAAATGATGATTTGTCATTAAAATACCCATGAGTCTTACACCAATCTCTTAAAACTTGCCAATTCTTTGAAACCATTAATACTGTCACTATTATGCTTTGGAGTTTGGGGGCTTTGGCAACGTAGGATAAAATCTAAAGAGAATTATCTTACCACTTCAGCACATCATTGGATCTTTCTTTAGTGAGTATGGTTCATTTCTCATACAATAGTAGTAATAATAATAAATGCCATGGACATTCTGAATGCATTTAAAAAAAAAAAAGATGAGAAGAGAGAAAGCAGCATCTTTGTAGTCAGTATTTTTGTCCTTCCAAAGGGGCTGGAAAGCATTGATATTGCTGAATTGATATCACATGCAAGTCTGAATGTTTTTGTTAATTTTGCTGTGAGCAAAAACTAGAAAACTCACGACAGCAAATGCCATTTAACTCTCTGGATTATTCAGTGTGAAGTGCATTTTAAGATGAAACTGAAGAAGAATAGGTCCTCCTTGCTTTTTTCCCCCCAACTAGTAAAGAAAACTCAAGCAACCTCCTAGAATTAGAGTTCAACGATAGGTAACAATTTCAGAGAGGTCTGAAGATCTGGTAGATGGATAATGACCAGTTCAGGATGCTGACAGTTCACACCGGTGGCTGAGGACTGCCCATCCTCCGTGTTTGTTTCTCAGTATGTGAGCAACTGTTAAGCTGGACTTTAAATTCTGATGACTCAAAAGATCACCTTCCTCTCAGGGCATCTTCTCAACCATTGTAATTAACCCTAAAATGGATCCTCTCTACTCCAGGACAAGGACACTTTGCGGCCTCCTGCCTCTCCTGCCCCTCCCAGCCCACACTTAGATTTAGGAGCTGCAGGAAGAGAGCTCTGTCTTGAAATATTCTCATTTCTGTTAAGGTCTAGTAACCTTTGAAGTGTGTCTATTTGTTGTCTCATTTACTGTCACGCTTTACTCACTCCTTTGGTTGGATTTTTACTAAATGAAGATCTTTCAAAATGTAGGTTTAGGCCAGGTGCGATGGCTCACACCTGTCATTTCAGCACTTTGGGAGACTGAGGAGGGAGGATTGCTTCAGCTCAAAGAGTTCAAGAGCAGCCTGGGCAACACAGGGAGACCCCCGTCTCTACAAAATATAAAAAACATGATTGAGTGTGGTGGCAAGTGCCTGTAGTTTCAGCTACTTGGGTTCTGAGGTGGGAGGATCACCTGATCCCGGGAGGCAGAAGCTACAGTGAGCCATGACCACGCCACTGCACTTCAGCCTGGGCAACAAAACGAGTCCATATCTCAAAATACATACGTGTGTGTGTGTGTGTGTGTGTGTATGTGTATGTTCAAATGCGTACAAGTGATCAAGAAATTGGGTACATTCTTACAAATATAATGGGTTATAGTAACAATGATTGGTCTGCAAAGGGGAATGTGGAATAATTTTATTTGCTCCGAGTATAACTGTTTGATATTAGAATTTGGCACTTCCTTGTAGGAAATCTATTATAGGGATGTTCTGCCAAGATAAAGGAAGGAAGAAATAAGCACCGCGCCCCAGTAAGACTATATGGAGGTTTTAAAAAACACTTTTAAAAATAGCTTGTCTGATGATAGAATCAATTGACCTTAAGGAATATTTCCTAATCCTACTGCCATGAGGTGTTCATTTCCAAATCTGTATGGCCGTCATTCTGACAGTAGTCCCATCTCTCTCTTCTAGGTTCCCGAAATCCTGCTCCTAGCTCCGCTATGGGAAGTGGGGCTAATCTTCATGTGTCCACCAAGCTGCCTTGAATCAGGATCACAGTTGCGTCAGGAACATCAGTCCTTGCCTTTCTACACCCTGCCATGAAAAGTGTCTCTTATTTGGGCCTCATGATGTTACTTCAGTACACTATTAGCACTGTGACAAGAAGAGCTTGTTCTTTCTGAAGAAGTATCACTTACAATTTTGAGATGATTTGCCAGTTAAAGTCACAATTACTATTCTCTAAACTGACAGAGAAGTGATCTGCTGAATGTTAACTGATAAGAACCTATCTTCTAACATACATGAATCATAAAAAGCAAGAAAAAAAAATCAATTTCTGAACTTCCCTTTACCGGTTTTCCTTGATCTATATATACAGACCAAAATAATATTCAGAAATTCTGGAAGGTCTCTGTCTTAGTCTGTTTGGGTTGCTATAACAAAATATCATGAATTGAGTACTTTATAAACAACAGAAATTTTGTCTCACAGTTCTAAAAACTGAGAAGTCCAAGACAAAACTCTAGCAGATCTGGGTCTGGTGAGCCACCATCTCCTGCTTCATACATGGTGCCCTCCCACTGTGTCCTCACAAGGTGGAAAGGGGAGAACTCCAGTCCTTTCAGCCCCTTAGCAGGGTACTCATCCCATTCATGAGGTCTCTACCCACGTGACCTAATCACCTCCCAAAGCTCCCGCCTCCTAATGCCATCACATTGGTGATTAGGTTTCAACATATGAATTCTGGGGGGTACACACACATTCAGACCATACCACTTTCCAAGGATTGCTTTGCAGTTTTCTATTCTCAGATGTACACCTTCATAACCGTAACAGATCTGAAAGTGCTGGACAATTTGAATGAATGCTGGTTACACAACAAAGGTATGTATCTTTGTTTGATAAAAATTCATTACAATTCTCTGTGAATAGAGAAAAGATTTATCAGATACTTTTAACAAGACAGAAGAAAAGCCACATGCTTCTCTCTTAGATAAGTAGAAATGAAGGCCTGTCTTACCTATTAGGCCTTGACTGTAAGTCATTATTTCACAGGGGTCTGTTTTACTTAACTAGACCCAACATCCAGGTCAGGAAGGGCTTTTCCTCTAGCAGATTCATGTGTGTATTCCCCTAATAGATGCTTTAAACACATATTCTCTGCGAAGCTGTGTGGCTTCTCTAGGAGTAGAGAATACAGAGATGAACGTGTTAGGGTCTTTGTCCCTGATAATAACTTAAAGATCTATCAAAGTTGTACAGTAAATAACAAGATTTCTGTTACAACACAGTGCCAAGTCTGAGCTCCTGCCTCAACTTTCACAGATTAACCCTTCATAGAAATATGTTAATCAGGCAACATTGTTTGGGGGAAGAATATTATTTTATTAATCATCTGGAAAAGGAAATTTATTTTCCATCTGGAATAAGCATGACATAATTCACCTTCCCTTCTTCTGCATTAGGTGTAAGGGCTGAAAATAATTTAAAAGCAGAGTGAATTCTAGAGTTCTAAAAGCCCTAACGTATCCTAATAATGAATTTACGCATTTTTTTCCAATAAAGTAAACATTACTTGAAATATATTACTTAACTTTTATTGGCTGTAATATAGGTGACTGTAATTATGTTATACACTTGTTGATGATGATTATTCATGGACAATCTTTATGTCGATTTTACAATAAATTTTCTGCTCGTATGTGCCAGCACTATGCTAGGTGTTTCAGGAGATAGAAAGACAAGGAAAACATAGTCTTTTACACATAGGACTGGGACAACCATGGGGAAGGATAGTACGGGAAGAGATTACAACATGAATGGACACTTTGGAGGAGGATATTTCTGAAATAAAAACTGAACCTTGGACAGGATTCTTGCAGGTGAAGCTAACAGCACAGAATAATCAGCTTTAACAGAGTCTTAGAGGCAGGATAGTGAGGGGGAAAATAATGTCCACATTTGGGCAAGGTGCCGTGGTTCATGCCTGTAATCCCAGCACTTTGGGAGGCCAAGGCGGGTGGATCACTTGAGATCAGGAGTTCGAGACCAGTCTAGCCAACATGGGGAAACCCCGTCTCTACTAAAAATACAAAAATTGGCCAGGTGAGGTGGCGCATGCCTGTAATCCCAGCTACCTGGGAGGCTGAGGCAGGAGAATTGCTTGAACCCAGGAGGCAGAGTTTGCAGTGAGCCGAGATCGCACCATTGCACTCCAGCCTGGGTGACAGAGCAAGACTCTGTAAAAAATAAATAAATAAATAAATAAATAAATAATAAAATTAAACAAACAAAAGAAAGAAAGAAAGAAGAAGAAGGAAGTCCAGATTTGTTAGAATTAAGACTTTATAACTTAGGTCCACTTGTAAATATCAAAAAGGTTTGCATTCCACCCCACCCCGAAATGATATCATACTTTCAGCAGTATTTCATAGAAATCAATGTATGACTTCCAAAGTTACTCTGAATTCACTTTGGAATAAATTTACAGCAACATCTATATACATTTGAACAATATCGAGATTAGATGTACAAGGCCTATTACTTAGTCAGTCTACTACTGAGATATACATTGATTCATGGCTCCATTGTCATACTAAGTTGGTTCTCCCAGGCAGAGGTCTTGGCCCACTGTTTAGAATTCATTGATGTCAGGTATGATAGTAACAGAGGGCAAGGCTGGTAGGATATTATCATTTTAGGAGGATGCAGAATGAAGGATTATAAAGGATTTTTCTTAAGTTAGAAGAAGGTATTAAAAGTATTTGATAACATGATCTGATCTGTGGTTTAGGAAAATTAATTCAGTTTGATGTTAGTTCCAAAAAGCAGAGAGTTTCTCTGTTTTATTCACCATTGAATATACAATGCTTGAATCATAACAGGTGTTCAACCAATAGCATTTTTATTCATTAATTGAACAGACAAGTGAATGAAACTAATTAAAAGAACAGAGTTTCAAAAAGTACGGGATGGTAATAAAAATGTCAAGTACTATAAAAAAAAAAAACAAGGAGGATGAGGATAGACAATAAGAGCACTTTATTGTGGACAGTAAGGAGTCTGATATGATCTCCACAGGGACCCTTCCTGTACAGGGGCAGGAACACAGGCCACGATTTGGAGTTTAAGAAAGATTTGTTGATGAGAAAAGTGGAGGCCACAAGACTGTTTCAGGAAGTCTGAGAGTCACTTTGGAGAACACTTGGGCATTGCCTAGTAAAGTTAAGATATACACACCTAGGGCTCGACAGTTCCAAATGCAGAGCTATGAATACAGCAGTGTGGTTTCTTACACTGAGAAAGACGAAGATGAAACATCATTGAGGTCTCTTTCCCAAATAATAAGTATTTAAGGGTAATGTTGGTAATTGACTCTCAAGTAGTTCTGGGAGAAAAAGTCCTCTATACTATACTTGTACATTTTCTAAAAGGCTGGGGTTGTTCCGTAATAAAGTAAAAATTCCTTAAAACTATTTTTAAATAAAAGAGGAAGTATTAAAAATGTATGACAACATCAATAAAAAGCTGAAGGTCAGGTGTGGTGGCTCATGCCTATAGTTCCAACTATTCCGGAGGCTAAGGTGGGAGGATCACTTGAACCCAGGCATTCGAGGTTAGAGCACGACCCCGTCTGTAAAACTGAAAATAGAAAGCTGTATATAAGGCAAGAATTTGAGTGGAGGCATTGTTAAAGGAATGTGAAATTTTTGTTATGATTTTTGATTGTTTTGTTTTGTTTTTTAGGATCAGGAGAATATTGATATGTTTGATGTGATAGGCAGAGGAGAAGATCAAATTAGAAAGAGAAATACAACTGGAACCCATTCTAAGAAATGCTTCAATCCAGCATGCTAAATTTCATAGGATGTGGAAAGAAAGCAACTGGAAAAAGGTCACTTTTGCTTTCAGGTAGATTGCAAATGCTTTAAAGCCAAGAACATACCCCTTTACTTCAGAGTGACTCTTGAATGTAGTAGCAGGTGGATTATAGGTCCGTCTTGATGGCAATAGAGATAACGGTTGCCAGGATTTTCAGCACCACTGTTCCCAATATTCCTGGACCTCAGATCTTGTAGGAGACTGATTTGGCTTGCCTCCTGGATACAAACACACTGAGGCAGGTTTCGTGAGTGAGGTTATTGTTGTTACGTAAAATCAGTGGCATAATGTTTATGCTCACCCGTGTGTCATTACCACTCATTAGACCTGTGCTCCTATGAACAATTTCCACAGTCATCAAGGGCCTGTTACTACTTGTTATCTAAATAGGGCTTGGGAAGATGCTGTGGCTGTGAGGTACAGTAGACCAGAATATGTAAGAAGTGGGTGACACTGGCTCCCAAGTCAGATAGCCATTATGGGAAATGGAACGAGCAGAGATGCAGTGTGTTTTAGGAAAAAAACTATTCATTTTAGTCCACTATAACCTCCAAAACTGCTGCAATTAAGTAAATAATGTCACCCTGTCTCTGGCATACAACCATCAGTTGTAGAAGGCTGTTATAATTTTGTTTGGTTAAACATGTTGGTAAAGCTGGTATAGCAGGTAGACTAGGAAATCCACTCCACAGACAACATAAATAACAGATTTATTTTTGCTAGGAAAGGTACATAATATTATACTGTAATTATAGGTCTTTAATCATTCCAGAAAAAATTTGAGATGAAGATGCACATTAGACAAGGACAATCTCAAGGTATTTCTTAAGAAAAAGACAACGTGTAGTGAAGATCGTGGGTTTTGGCCTGTTTAGTCTCAACTTTGGGGCCTTCATCAAGCTAGGGAACCTCACTTTCTTCTCTATACAATGGGGCTAATGGTACATTACAAGGTTTTTATAAAGATTAAAGATAATATATGTGGAATAACTATTATTATTTCTGCTTATTAATAGTGCTCTGTAGTTATTACTGCTTTTTGTATTTACCATATACAAACTACATTCTAATCCAGTGAGTCAACATCCAAATACTTACAAATATTTCACAATCATAAATAATAAGCAAACACACAACTGAAGAAAGCATAAACACAGACTGTAAAAGCCTTTACAGTGGAGGTATCTTTCTACACATCTGCCATTTTCTTAAGTTGCTTATTCCTTAATTTTTTGAAAAAAAAAGGTAAAAGAAATGATGTCTTAGGAAGCCTATAATTCAATGAAAGATTGCCAGATAATAGAGTTGCATATAGCATCTATTATCTCCTCCTTCCTTAAGATATCAGAGCCTTTAAAATGGATCCATTCAAACAGGCAATCTCAGAAGCAGTTTGTACTCAGTGATGACAATATCCACACATGGTATTTTAAAATCTTTTTCCAAACAAGGGAATCCTATGCCCTAGCTTGCCTGGGACACTTCCGGTTTATTTCTGTTATTTTGGCTTACTTATTGATAGTCCTTTC